GTGGCAAGGAAGGGGAGTGGGAGTTCAATCCTAGGTAGGGTCAGATATTTCTCTCTCCAAGCACAAGGAGAATATATCTGATAAACGTAACAAGGGGCTAATCTACTTAATAATACATATTATTATAGCATCAAGGACGGTCTTTGCCCAAAACTGGAAAAACAGGGAAATTCCACAAGAGGAGGAAGTAATTAGGAATATTCTGATTTGAGCTGAAATGGATAAATTGACGTGGGAATCGAAGGATAAAGATGAATCAGAATATTATAAGTTCTGCAATAAACTTTATCGATGGTTGGGACAAAAAAAAGGAAGACCCAAAATAAACAACGCCTAAGATTTATAGAGATTAGAATTATGGATGAAATCATAAGAGTGAAAATGTATAAGACGAGAACAAAGCAACATGGAGGGAAATACGATATCCTTATATGTGTAAATACTGAGCAGACCAATTGTAAATAATCATGAGGGTTATAATATTTAACTTTATATTCTAGTATGTATGGCAAAGGCATTGCCAGGACGGTTGCCCTGTGTCCAATGTTTTAATGTGTGTTTATTATTTAAAAAAAAAACTTTTTAAAAAAAGAGAATATATCTGCTGGGGGGGAGAAAACCCCGCATTGGCGACAGGAAGGGCATCCGGCCAGTAAACACTCTGCTAGCGCCATCCAGTTGCCCAGACTCCACCCCACCAGGGATTATGATGATAATCATATTTATGATATGATATATTTATGATAACCATGATTATGATGTTAAACGATGATGATAACGTGGCAAGGAAGGGGGTGGGGTGCCTTATGGAGCAGAAGACCCCCATCCCCAAATAGCAAACCAAAACTCCCCTCCCCCAAACTCTGAGCTTCTCTACTCCCCTTCGTGTCAAAAGCAGGAATTCGGATCCATTGGAGATGCTGTCAAACCTCTGGATGGATCCTTCCTAGCTGGCTCCTCCGTTGGTTGATTGATTGATTGACTCTGATTGATTTGATTTGATTTCTGTGCCAGCTCATCTCAGCAAAGGACGCTGGGCAGCTCACCGTTCAAAGCACCCCTTGCAATTAAAACCTTAAAGTCAATCCTAAAAAAAACCAGTCTTCAAGATAATAAAAAGCACTCAGACCCCATCCCATCCCTTGGCCTGTGGGGAAGCCCCTCACCCTTTTTATTTTCAGAGAGAGGTTGGGCGGATTGGGAGGGGTCTCTCTTCCAAGCCGAAGAAAAGGGAGGCAGACTAGAAAACCAGACGTGCTTTTGGAAGGAGGGAAACCTGGAGGGGTGTTTTGCTGGAGGAACATCTGGTTCGCATTGCTCTCCCCTCCCTCCTTCCAGCCCTGGGGATGTTGGATTGCCCGGCCTTAGCAAGATATAAAAGCAGGAACAGCCTGGTTAGTGGACTGGGAAGCAATCTGACAGCTGGATCTGATGATTTGAGGCAAGGGTCTCCAACCTTGGCCACTTTAAACTTGTATACTTCAATTCCCAGAATTCCCCAGCCAGCCATGTTCACACGTCTGAAAGTCACCCAGGTTGAGAAATACTGGACTTAGATGACCCTTCTGTCTCTTCCAACTCTATCGTTCATATCTGGCTGGGGAATTCTGGGAGTTGAAGTTCACAGGTCTGAAAGTCACCCAGGTTGAGAAATACTGGACTTAGATGACCCTTCTGTCTCTTCCAACTCTATCATTCATATCTGGCTGGGGAATTCTGGGAGTTGAAGTCTACAAGTGGCTGATTATTCCTCCTGCCAAATATTCATGGTCCCCCTCCCTCTTTTTGCTGTGTCTTGTCTCCTCAGAGACCCCCCAGCTGGAGGCTGGCACCAACTCCGACAAGTGCTATTCGGTCATCTTGCTCTCCGTGGCTCACAATGGCTTCCTCTACAAGGCTCCCTCCATGGCCAAGCTGGCCCTCGAACGCAAGTCCCGAGAAGGTCAGGCGGGGGTGGCTGGAGGCGGGGTTTCCCCGGGGGGGGGAGGGGGTTTGCACAAAACAAGGCCCAGGAAAAGAAAGGGCCCTTCCTTCCTTCCTTCCTTCCTTCCTTCCTTCCTTTTCTCTTCCTTTCCATTCTTTCTCCTTCCTTCCTTCTCTTCTATTCTTCCTTTCCCCTCCCTCCCTCCCTTACTTCTCCTTCCCTTCCTTTCCATTCTTTCTCCTTCCTTTTATTCCTTTCTTCCTTCCTTCTCCCTCTTGTTCCGTTCCTTCTCTCTTCCTTCCCATTTCTTCTCCTTCCTTTTATCTAGTGCCTTCCTTTCTTCCCTTCTATTCTTCCTTCCCCCTTCCTTCCTCCCTTCCTTCTCCTTCCCAGTCTTTCTCCTTCCTTCTTGTCTATTCTTCCTTTCCCCTCCCTCCCTTACGTCTCCTTCCCTTCCTTCCCATTCTTTCTCCTTCCTTTTATTCCTTCCTTCCTTTCTTCCCCCTCTTGTTCCGTTCCTTCTCTCTTCCTTCCTATTTCTTCTCCTTCCTTTTATCTAGTGCCTTCCTTTCTTCCCTTCTATTCTTCCTTCCCCCTTCCTTCCTCCCTTCCTTCTCCTTCTCCTTCCCTTCCTTCCCATTCTTTCTCCTTCCTCTTATCCCCTTCCTTCCTTCCTTCCTTCCTTCCCTCCCTCCCTCCCTCCCTCTCTCCCACCCTTCCTTCTCCTCTCTTCCTTCTCATTCTCTGTCTTTCCTTTTATCTCCCTCCCTCCCAGAAACATTATTTTGGCTTCAGCTGAAAGGGGGAGACGTCCCCCTTGGGGGTCAGAGCCACAAGCCCCCCCCCCCCCGGCTGCCTTGCCTCCACCTCTTCTCCTTCACTGACATCCCCCCCCCCTGTGCCCCGTGGGTTTCCCCCATGCAGAGTTCAGCCGCCGTTGGTGCCAGCTGCAGGAGGGGGTCTTCAACTACTACGAGACCAACACCCACACCGTCCCTAACGGAGAGATCCGGGTGCAGGAGATTGTCTGCCTGGCCACTCACCCTCCGGACACCCACGGGTGAGGCGGCTCTTCTCTCCCGGGGAAGGGAGGGGCATGGCCTTGCCCTAGAAAAAGGGGGCCGCTCGCTCCGTAATACAGGCGGGTCCTCGGCTTACGACCGTGATTGAGCCCAAAATTCCTATCGCTAAGCGACACGGTTGTTTAGTTGGGTTGGACTAGAAGACCTCCGAGGTCCCTTTCCAACTCTGTGATTCTGTTATTCAAATTCTCTTAAATGAGTTTTTGCCCCGTTTTACGACCTTTCCTGCCGCTAAGTGAATCACTGCGGTCGTGAGTCACATGGTCGTTAAGCGAATCTGGCTTCCCCCCGTCGACTTTGTTTGCAAGAAGGTCACCAAAGGGGATCACGTGACCCTGGGACGCTGTGACCGTCATAAGTATGAGTCGGCGGCCAAGTGTCTGAATTTGGATCCCGTGACCATGGGGGGGCTGCAACTGCGGGACATCATCAGTGCTAGGAGGAGGAGGAGGAGGAGGAGGAGGAGGAGGAAGAAGACTGCGGGGGTCCTTGGTGCCCTTTTCATCATCAGTGTTAGAAGGGAGGGGGCTTTGTGGGGGATGAGATGGTGATGAGGAGGAGGATGGTGGGGTCCTTGATCTTCTCTGAGCTGGGTGGTCTTCTTGCAGACATTTCATGGCCCAATGAGATAACGTCATCAGCGTGAGGGAGTGTGAGGTTTGCTCTCTGCTTGTGTACTGGGCTCTGGGCCTTCCTGTGTCCGTGGAGGCCTTGACTCGGCTCTGGCTTTCTGCTTGAATGTTCGTCTGGTGCCAATCCCTGCTTATCTGCGGATCAGTTGCTGGAGAGGAAGCGTCCTGGTCCGTCTTCTTCCCTTAGTATCTTCCACTAGATTGCATCTCACCAGCTAATGAGACCACAGCCCTGAGCACTGATGGCGTTACTTAGTTGGGTCCTGAAATGCCTGCAAGAAAGACCCCAGACCCTCTTTCTGCCCAAGGGATCCTCCTCCTCCTTCTCTACTCTTCTCTCTCTCCTTTCAGGTACGCAAACACCTTCGAGTTGTACACGGAGACGGAGCGGCTCTACCTCTTCGGCCTGGACAACCCCAAGGCCATCCGGGAATGGGTCAAGTGCCTGGCCAAGGTCAGCAGCCCCCTTGGGGAGCCCTGCAGTTAGGAAGAGATGGGGAAAGATTGAGGAAGGGAAGGGAGGGGATAGAGAGGGAAAAAGGAAGGGAAGAAGAAAGGAAAGGAGGGAAGGAAGGGGAGGGAATGAAGAAGGAGGGAGGGAAGAAAGATTGAGGAAGGGAAAGGAGTAGGAAGTGAAGGAGGGAGAGAGGGAAGGAAGGAGGGGGGAAGGAAAGAGATTGAGGAAGGGAAGGGAGGAAAGGAGGGAGGGGGGAAGAAAAGAATGGAGGAGGGGAAGGAGAGGGGAGGGAATGACGAAGTAAGGAAGGAAAAGAGGGATGGATGGATGGGAGGGAGGAGGGTCAGAGGGAAGAAAGGAGGGGGGAAGGAAAGAAAGATTGAGGAAGGGAAAAGAGTAGGAAGTGAAGGAGGGAGAAAGGGAAGGAAAGAGGGAGGGAGGAAAGAAAGATTGAGGAAGGGAAGCGAGGGGAAAAAGGGAAGAGAGAGGGAAAAAGGAAGGGAGGAAGAAAGGAAAGGAGGGAAGGAAGGGGAGGGAAGGAAGGAGGGAGGGAGGGAAGATTGAGGAAGGGAAAGGAGTAGGAAGTGAAGGAGGGACAGAAGGAAGGAGGAAGGGAGAGGGAAGAAAGGAAGAAAGATTGAGGAAGGGACGGGAGGGAAAGGAAGGAGGGAGGGAGGAAGAAAAGAATGGAGGAAGGGAAGGAGAGGGGAGGGAGGGAATGTGGAAGGAAGGAAGGAAAAGAGGGATGGATGGATGGGAGGGAAGGAGGGAGGGAAGCGGTTGACCCTTAGTGACCACATCAATAGACCCCCAAAAGGGGGAAGGGGGTCTCCCTTGACCATGCAGGGTAATAGAGGGGGGGGGGGCAGGTGAAGCAGGGTCTCTCTCCTATCCTAAGCCCTCTCCCTCCCTCCCTCCCTCCCTCCCTGCAGGCCTTCCTCCCTCCGGCGGCCGAGGGGCTCCTGGCGGGGGAGTTTGAGCGCCTGGGGCGCCTGCGCTACAAGGGCGGGCTGAGCCTGGAGGGGGCCAAGGAGGGCTGGTTCGCCCTGGGGGGCTCCACCCTCTACGCCTTCCTGGACGGCAGCCCCAAGGAAGAGGCCATCCAGCTGCGGAAGCTGCAAGAGCTCTGTGAGTCCACGCGCCACCCGCCGCCCCCCCCCTTGAACCTCCGGCCGGAATCCTCTTCCTGGGCTCACTTAGCGGCCAGGGCAACTCACTCAACGACCGCCGGGAAGAGGGTGCAAAATCAGCCACATGAACAGAGCCCTTTGGCCTCCATCATGAGTGGCCACCTCGATGGATGGGCAGCTTCCCTTGTGGTCGTAACTGGAGGACCGCCTCGTTTTCTGCCGAAGGTGGGTGGGGGAGTCTGAGAGGAGCCCCCCCTCCCTCCAGGCAAAAAGACACGTCAAAAATCCCTAATTTTGAGGCCAGAATTGCCACTCCCGAGGTCGAGTCCATCCGGCCACCGTCTCCAGCACTGGACTTCCCCTCCATCAGACGGGTCGAGCTCCCTGCTGGCTGGCTTCCAGGGTGGACATGCTGACCGATGACCTGGTGGGGGTGGGGGTGGGGGGCAGTCCAGCTCATTGGGTGCTTCTAGCCTCACCCACCCATTGCTCTCCTCCTGGGGTCTCCAAACTTGGCACATGTGGAGGGAGAGATGGAAGGATAGAAGAAGGGAGGGAAGGAAGAAAGGAGGGAGGGAAGAAAGAAAGAAAGAAAGAAAGAGAAGGAAAGATACAGAAGAGAGAGAGAGAGAGGGAGGGAAGAAAGAAAAGAGAGGGAAGGAAGGAAGGATACAGGAGGGAGGGAGGGAGGAAAGGAGGGAGGGAAAGGGAGGGAAGAAAGAAAGAAAGAGAAGGAAAGATACAGGAGAGAGAGAGAGGGAGGGAAGAAAGAAAAAAGAGAGGGAAGGAAGGAAGGATACAGGAGGGAGGGAGGGAGGAAAGGAGGGAGGGAAAGAGGGAGGGAAGAAAGAAAGAAAGAAAGAGAAGGAAAGATACAGGAGAGAGAGAGAGGGAGGGAAGAAAGAAAAAGAGGGAAGGAAGGATACAGGAGGGAGGGAGGGAGGAAAGGAGGGAGGGAAGAAAGAAAGAAAGAAAGAAAGAAAGAGAAGGAAAGATACAGGAGAGAGAGAGAGGGAGGGAAGAAAGAAAAAAGAGAGGGAAGGAAGGAAGGATACAGGAGGGAGGGAGGGAGGGAAGGAGGGAGGGAAAGAGGGAGAGAAGGAAGAATACAAGAGGGAAGAAAGAAAGAAAGAAAGAGTGGGAAGGAAAGATACAGAAGAGAGAGAGGGAGAGAAGAAAGAAAAAAGAGAGGGAAGGAAGGAAGGATACAGGAGGGAGCGAGGGAGGGAAGGAGGGAGGGAAAGAGGGAGGGAAGGAAGAATACAAGAGGGAGGGAAGAAAGAAAGAAAGAAAGAGTGGGAAGGAAAGATACAGGAGAGAGAGGGAGAGGGAAGGAGGGAAGGAAGAAAAAAGAGAGGGAAGGATACAGGAGGGAGGGAGGGAAGGAAGGGAACAGTTATTGTTGATCATTAGTGAATTTCAAAAGAAGGAAAGAGGGAAGGAGGAGGGAGAGAGAAGGAGGAATTCTGGGAATTGGAGTCCACCAGTCTTAAAGCTGCCAACTTTGGAGACCCCTGACCCGCAGTCACAGCCAGCAAGCAGAGGGTCCTGGTGGGGATTTGGGGCACACAGAATCGAGGGGGAGGGGGAGCTGCTGTGAACAGAGCTGAGACTGGATCCCCTTTGAACTCAGTGGGATCCACACACCCAATTTGATCTATGGGATCAAGTCCCATGCCAAGCACCAGTGGGGTTAATTAACCAAAGTCGGGATCCTCTCTAACTTTCAACTCATGCTAATTTTCACCTTTGCAGCCCTCGAGAACGACGTCCTTGTGCTGGTCGAAAGAAGAAGGTAAGAGGGTTTCAGGGAGAAGGCAGGCAGTCCTCGACTTACGACCCTCCATTTAGCGACGCTTCGAAATTGCAACACTGCTGGGGGAAAAATGACCTACAACCTGTCCTCGCACTTGCGACCATTGCAACGTCCCTGCGGTCACGTGATAAAACTTTGGGCCCTGGGCAGCCGGTGGGTCTTTAGGATGGGGGGCAGAGCCCAGGGGTCAAGCGGCCCCCTTCCCCACCAGCAAAGTCAGCCGGATTCACTTAACGACCATGCACTGCAGGGCAAAAAGGCTGTGAACTTGGATGCGGGTCCCTGAATGGCTGCCTCGCTTAGCAACCAAGGTTCCGGTCCCGATTGTGGTCGTAGGCCGAGGGCTATCTGTAAAGATGGCTTTCCTTTCAAGGGAATTGAAATTGAATTTAATTAAAATTGAAATATTCAGGGGTTAATTTTTGCCTTTTCAGGTTTTTTTTAATCTTGAATGTTATTCAGAAGGAAGGAGGGAAGAAAAGAGAAGGAAGGAAAGGAAGGAAGAAGGAGGGAGGGAGGGAAGAAAGGAAGATTAGAGAGGAAGGAAGGACAATGATAATGTTAGCTAGTTGGGTCATGAAATGTCTGTAAGAAAACAACCAGGCTCAGTGAGAGGAAGGAAGAAAGAAGGAAGGAAAGAAGGAAGGAAAGAAGGAAGGGGGAGGGAGGGAGATGATGGGGACAGAGAAAATAAGGAAAGAAGGAAGGAAGAAGAAAGGAAGGAAGGAAGGAAGGAAGGAAGAAGAAAGGAAGAGGGAGGGAAGGAGATGATGGGGACAGAGAAAATAAGGAAGAAGGAAAGGAGGGGGGAAGAAAAGAGAAGGAAGGAAAGGAAGGAAGGAAGAAAGAGGGAGGGAGGGAAGAAAGGAGGGAAGATTTGAGAGGAAGGAAGGATGATAATGTTACCTAGTTGGGTAATGAAATGTCTGTAAGAAAACAACCAAGCTCAGTGAGAGGAAGGAAGAAAGAAGGAAGAAAGAAGGAAGGAAAGAAGGAAGGAAGGGGGAGGGAGGGAGTTGATGGGGACACTAAGGAAGAAGGAAAGGGAGGAAGAAAAGAGAAGGAAGGAAAGGAAGGAAGGAAGAAAAGGAAGGGAGGGAGGGAAGAAATAATGAAGAAAGGAAGAAAAGAGAAGGAAGGAAGGAAAGAAGGAAGAAAAGGGAGGGAGGGAAGGAGGGAGGGAAGAAAGAATGAAGAAAGGAAGAAAAGAGAAGGAAGGAAGGAAGGGCCAGATGAGGGCTACCAGGATTGGGGTGGCAGGGGAAAATGACTCCTCCAGCCTTGCCAATAAGGGCTGCCCATATGCCACCCAACCCACCTTGGCATGACCTGCCTCCTCCCCCTCCCCCTCCCCCCCCTTCCAGGACGCTGTACATCCAGAGCGAGAGGCGTCTGGCCTTCCTGGGCTGGGTGGGGGCCATCCAGAGAGCAGCTGGCAGCTCTGGGGACACCTTGTCGGAACAGCAGCTGACTGACATGGATGTGCCAATCATCGTGGACAGATGCATCGATTATATCACCCAGTGCGGTACGCAGGAGGGGTGGGTGGCCTTGGGGGGGGAAGGAGGGATGCCCCCAATTATCTTCCTCCCTTCCCCTTCTCTTTTTTCCTCAACCTTTCTCCTTCCTTCCTTCCTTCCTTCCTTCCCTCCCTCTTTCTTTCTTTGTTTCTTTCTTTCTTCCTTTGTTTCTTTCTTCCTTCCTTTCTTTCTTTCTTTCTTTCTTCCTTTGTTTCTTTCTTTCTTCCTTCCTTCCCTCCCTCCCTCCCTCTTTCTTTCTTTGTTTCTTTGTTTCTTCCTTTGTTTCTTCCTTCCTTCCTTTGTTTCTTTCTTTCTTCCTTTGTTTCTTTCTTTCTTCCTTTGTTTCTTTCTTTCTTCCTTCCTTCCCTCCCTCCCTCCCTCTTTCTTTCTTTGTTTCTTTGTTTCTTCCTTTGTTTCTTCCTTCCTTCCTTTGTTTCTTTCTTTCTTCCTTTGTTTCTTTCTTTCTTCCTTTGTTTCTTTCTTTCTTCCTTCCTTCCTTCCCTCCTTCCCTCCCTCTTTCTTTCTTTGTTTCTTTCTTTCTTCCTTTGTTTCTTTCTTTCTTCCTTCCTTCCCTCCCTCCCTCCCTCTTTCTTTCTTTGTTTCTTTCTTTCTTCCTTTGTTTCTTTCTTT